TGCTTTGTATACATATATGAAATTAGCAAAGAAGATCAAAACACGTAAAAATGACATTTTATTCATCTGTAATAAAAATGAAAAAAGAAAAAAAAATTGTAGGTAGAAGTTCTTAGTATTGGTTTCTACTGTAGCTATCAACAACAGAGAGGTCATTTCTGGTTTTGCTAAGCTGTTGTAGTAGTAAAGGGACTGTTTTAGCTTACCTGTGTAGGCTTCATTACTTCCCACCATTCTCAGCTAGTTGTCAATGTTTCGTATTGTTGAATAATTACAAATAGAATAATAACAGAAGGTAATGGCTTCAATCGGGCAGACAGCCATTGAAACAAAGGGAATTGATGAAAAACACAGCTTAGAATAAGAGTTAATCAAGCTTAGTGAACAATTAGATGGTTTTAATCATTCGTGTGAATGATTACATTTTGGTATCACTTCTTAAGACTGGATCATTTCTTAAGACAACCAGGAGGGCAAAGAAAATAAATCATTTTGGATTACATTGTGTGTGAAATTTGTATCCTGTAGATTATCTGGAGCTGAGAAGAAAGGTCCAGGGTTCTGAAAAAATTTTATATATATGCATTTTACACAGCCATGAGAATGAGTAAGATCAAACAGAAGAAAAAGAGCTAGTGAAGGAGAAGAGTGAAAGAAATGGATTTTGAAAGTGGGAAAAGGAAGGTTTGTAAGAAGATCATGTTCTTATCAGATGAGATATTTGGTCATATTCATTTTGGGTCATTAGAATTTAGAAATGGTTATTTAAATAGATGAACTAGAATTATCAGTGATGATGACTCTGTGACTATCTTTTTGATTGATCTAAACTCTGTCCTTTAAGACACACTAAAGCAATCAGATGATTTGTTAATGGGGAAAAACATTTAAATCCATTTTGCACATGTAAAACATTACATTTTTAAGAGTAGCTTTAAAGTACTCTAGCATCTGTATTAATGATCCGTTAATGCACTTCTCAGGAAATTGAAGTCATTTGGTCTTCAGTGTTTCATGGCTTACAGCACACTTGAGGCTCAGATTAATTTCATTTTTATATACCGTTTTTGGTTGATGTATTTTTGCAATTCATTTAATCAATCCAGGCTTTCATGAGGGAAATTGTGTTTAAAAATGTATAGTCACAAAAGTTTTAAATTATCTAAATGGAATAAAATTTAAAATACCTTTGGTAAACTTCTCAGTGAATTTACATGTCAGAAAAAATATTCCTTAATTTTCTCCTTTAAAAAAAGACCTATGTTCTTTCAAAAGAAACTTTGATGCCAGTTACCCTGACTTGACCAGTGCACATTATATGAGTGTGTTTTCAGACTGGGCTCCATTAATGAATAAAATTGATACATCTCAGAACTATCTCTTTAAACCTCCCCAGTACAAAGTTACTGCTTAGATTGGCTTCAGGTCTAAACGCCAAATTGCCAAGCTCCTTCACTCCTTATAGCCTTTTCTTGAGATGCTCTTATATAGCCTCCCAGGGCCTTCTTTCTCATCAATCAGTTCTGTGCTCAGATAAACCTTTCACAGATCATCAAGATCCTCTTCCTGAATTACTCTCCATTTCACGTAGTTAATTTCTGATATATATATATATATATGTATATATGTATATATTAAAACACACACATATACATATATATGTATATACATATATACACACATATATGTATATATATACTGTGAGACACACATATATATATATACTGTCAGACACATATATATATATATACTGTCAGAAGCATAAGCAGTTTACAAGCTACAAATGAACTTTACTGACTAGGCACACCTACAAGTAGAACAATGAATGTGCCCAGTTGGCAGAACATGCAGTTACAGCATCATATAGGATAAAGAGATAGTTTTGTCTCTTGTAGTTAGTATTTACATCTGGTAGGGTCTAGGTTCTCATGATCAACTCACCAGCCAAAGCAGGATCAATCCATTCTACATTTTGTACTACTCCATCCCCTCTGGGGGCACACTAAGTTTTTCCATTCCTTTAGGCAATATAACCTGGAGACTCACTCTTAATAATTGGCACTGTTTATTCCTTGTCCTTATGTCTATCTCTCTCACCTTCTACAGTATTAGCACAGTTATTAGAAATGAGGGAATTGTTTTCTACTTCATTCCTTGTTCCTTGAATGTTCCCATTAACTCTTAATACCATCTATGTAATAATATTTCTTTAAAACTCTTGTGGTTAAAATATCTTTCCAGAATAGTTATGCTAATAACTGGATGCTGTGGGATATCTTTCAGTATGGTATGAATATGTGTGGCTCCCACTAGATAATAAATAAATCTGTTTTGGCCTATGGCAAGAAAGCTTACAGCCAGGCTGGAAATCTAAGCAGAGATACATAAAGATGAAGGGCAGAGTCAAAAGAGATGCCAGCTGCCTCCAAAGGAGCAACAAGATGCCAGCAGACCAGTAACGCCAAGGCCACATGTCAACATATGGATTAATAGGAATGGGTTAATTTAAGACGAAAGAGCTATCTAGCAAGACGCTGAAGCCATAGACCATACAGTTCATAATTAAAATAAGCCTCTGAGTAATTATATTATAAATGGCCATGGGATTGTGGGTGGGAGAGATTTGTCTGGACAGCTGGGCAAGACAGGACCAGATAAATTTCCATCTACATATGTAATATTAAACTTCACAACCTATTCTAACCATTCAGGCCAGCAGTGTGGCTAGCATAGTAAATACAAAGAGAGCACATAGCACACATGCTCCTGGAGTCATGCCCAGAATCATGCAGTGAACTGTCCACAGGTCCTTGCCAAGTGAATGAGGATCTCCAGGGTCTTGTCACAAGGGGAACCATTCATGCTATTCTCGGGCCTTTGTCTCCTGAAGAAGTCACATGGCCCTCACCCCTGGATGATCATTGTGCTGGTTGGTTTTATCTCAACTTGATACAAGGCTAAAGTCTTCTGAGAGAAAGGATCTTCAGTTGAGGAAATGCTGACATAAGATTTGGCTACAGGCAAGTTTGTAGGATATTTCCTTAATTAGTATTTGATGGGGGGGGGCAAAGCCCACTGTTGGTAGTGCCATCCCTGGGCTGGTAGTACTGGGTTGTATAAGAAAGCAGGCTAAGCAAGTCACTGAGAGCAAGACAGTAAGAAGCACCCTTCCATGACCTCTGGATCAGCTTCTGCCTCTAGGTCCCTACACTGTTTTGAGTTCCTATCCTGATTTCCTTCAATGATGAACAGTACTGAGGAAGCATAAGCCAAATAAATCCTTTCCTCTCCAAGCTTCTTTAGTCATGGTATTCTGCTGCAGCAACAGAAACCCCAATTAAGTCAGTAATGCAGGCTTTGAACTCTGTCTGCTATACTTCCAATATTGACTCTTCCTTTGAGTATCTGATATCTCTGGGCAAGTTATCTCATCTCTATTTCTTTTTTTTATAAAATGACACAGTTAAAAACAGATTTAAGTGTTACAAAAGTTAAATTACCTACTCTTAAAGTTTGTATATAGTCCTGACCTATTCATTATTAGTTGCAGATGTAGTATAATATGTACTAAAATATATGGCTTTGAATTCAGACCTGCATATCCATTTTTGTAATCATGCATCAAGACTGGGGTCTGTCCAGGCATGGTGGCTCACACCTTTAGTCCATGCCATTATTCCAGAGGCAGAGACCAGTGAATCCCTGTGAGTTTAAGGTCAGTATGGACTACATAGATCTAGGCCATCCAAGAACCTTACTTCTAAAATAAGAAGGACAGACTCTGATACTCAGTATTTGGTCCTCAATAGGTATGTGGATGGATGTTACTTTACCACTGACATAGAAATAGAAATTATTAAGCAAATTTTTTTTTTTTTACTTTAACACCAGGATTTGAATATGTAGGGAATCTGAAGTCCTAGAAAGAAGACTCAGAAGAAAGAAAACCATAGGGGAAATGGCCCTCAAAGTTATCTGATCCCGGATGAATGGAGAATATTAGCTATAATGTCTACCTGGGTCAGAGCTAGAGTGAAGTTTCCTGGTAGAGAGTGATTCAGTGATGTAACACCGAGAACCAGCTGTGCACGTTTCTAGGGCAAGGATGAGTTAGAGCCTCTAGTGGTTGGAATTGGCTTAAGAAGAGGACACAATGCATTCTGTATATGAAAACACCGGATCAGGGTGAGAAGGTGGCAAATGGCTAAAAAGCGCTTGATGTGTAAGTGCAGGGACCTGTGTTTGGATACCTGGTACCTATATAAAAAGCCAGGTGTGGTGGCACACCTCTAATCCCAGGGATAAGAGATGGAGACAGCAGGATTCTGGGAGTTTGTAGCCAACCTATACAATGGGCTAGCCAGGTTCAGTAAAATTCTTTCTCAGAAAACGACATGGAGAGTGATAGAAGGCACCTGGTGTCGATTCCTTCTGGCCACATGCAACACTCCACACCACATGCACCCCCAACACACACAACAAAACAAACATACAAAAACTAGATCAGAGTAATATATAAACTTTAATCTCAGCTGCAGAAATTAAAAGCAGGTAAAGTCAAGGTCAGGTCATAATTCATCTTACTAAAAACACTCAGATTTGGATAAAAGGATAACATCTCATTTTATTTCAGTGCTGAGATCTTCATGTTAAGATCAAGCACTATGTATTTATTTTTATCACAGATCATCAGTCAATCCCTCTAGGCTGAAAACCAGAGTAGAAGCAGGCACACCAAGCCCCTTGCTTTCCCTGACTTACTTCCAATAAATAATCTTGCTGCAAAGTTTAGTGGCCCTGCACAAAAGGATACTGGATTGATTTCTCCACATTATCAGATTTATGTCTGCATGTGGCTTGTTGTGTTTTGCAAACTATAAAGAGTGTCACGAGATACTGCGTTTGGCTGTTGGCAGCCTTGCTTTCTTGGCCATGTCAGCCACCGTGTCCGAGTACAAATTTAGAAACTTTTATATATAGTCAGTGCGTCATCTTTTCACCCACCGAGTTGTTTAGATTTCCCGACCACAGCTCCCTTTGTTGGAGGATCTTCCCTCATAGCATACCAAGAGACAGGTACGTGTCTGGTCTGTCGATCCCTCTAAAACATTTAGCATTTAAATAAAATACGAGAAGGGGTTATGCAAGAACTCAAATAGCTGTTGCATGAAGCTTGGCAGGTTGCCTAAAATGAGTGTATTCTCGAGAGAAATCCCTCTCTATGCTTCATAGTAACAGCTTTTATGGGCTGAGAAACTTGTGTTATTAAGTTTTAGTATTTATTTTATATTTAATATTTGATTTATATCATAATTTGTTAGAAGACTCATTGCTAGGTCTTGATTTTAGTTTTCATAACTCATAGCTACTTCATGAACATCACTAATGAAAAATCCCTATTTATAAAATCAGTTGTATGAGTTGATACATCCACCTTTAGCAAAGCTCTCTATATTTTACCAAAATGAATAATTGATATATTTAACAATTATGAGTTGAATATTTCTGATTAATGGAGCTCTTAAGAGTTAAGGCTGCTTTTTACACATTTAAAATTTAAAATTCATTATTGGCAGTATTCCACAGATGGCCCTACTTATATGGATTACTCCCAGTGCTTTCCAGTTTCACTCTTTTAAAATAAAAATGGTTGTCAAAAGCATAGGATTAAAAATCCAAATGTCTCTGCTCTCTTCTAGAATTTTTACTCAAATAGCCATCTTGCCTTTCTAATACCTTCTTCTGTCTCCTCTTCATCTCATTTTGTTCTTTTTCCATCTGGTGTTTCTGGCTTTCGTATGAGTCAAGGTCATCTACCCTGAATTATCAGAAGTGCCTAGAAGCTAAGTAGTGAGTTTAGGTAAAAGAACTGTGTCCTTAGCCTGGCAGTACAGAGTCTTGTCTTCTATGACTCATCCAGAACCCATGGGTAGCATCTTGGGCAAAAGAAAGAAAATGTTCCAGATAGTTAATAAGAACTCTCAAGTAGAATTAGGAAATATTTTATAAATGCTTATTTTTTGTTTAGGCGAGTAAGAAGATGTTTAGTAAAATTTATGTCTCTGGGAAAATTAAAATATTGATAGCATCAGCTGTTACTTTCTGCCCTCTTTGTGGTTTTTTGTGTGTTTATGTGTGTGTGTGCATGTATGTGTGTGTGTGTGTGCATGTATGTGTGTGTGTATGTGTGCATGCCTGTGTACTTGTACATCTCTTTTTTAAAATAAGAAACTTTCATTGCTTAGGATAAATTTGTAGATATGCACCACACCAAGTTTAAAACGTTTCTCTAAACTGCTAAGAATGAGGTATGTGAGGGAAGAATGTTGGTTGTTTCTTTTAGAAAAACTGAAGACAGCTTATAGTCACAATGAGAAAAATGGGAAAACTTGATAAAGTAGTTGATGTTGACAGGTTTTGTAAGTGACTTTCTAGCATATATTTCCTGCTTTTCCCTTCATAGTTAATTTATTCTTCCAAATACAGTCTCCTTTGATAGGAAGATAACTATAACAACACCATCAGTTAATCTTTGTATATATTTGGAAAAGTTTAATTGGCTAACAAACTAAGTAAAAAACAAACTCTTAATTTTTCAGGATGTCGAACTTGGGAGAGTATGACATTGACTTTTACCAATCTAATTATACGATTGATAATCAGGAGCAGAGCTATAATGATTCCAATGCTTATGGAAATCTTTATGGATCCAGAGAGTAAGTAACTTATAGTGAGTAAACATACTCCCATTTTTAGAAATGTCAGGGTTCTGTCAGTTAGTTCCTGATAGGTAGGTTCTCCCGAGGGAAGACAAAGTTAACTGAGCAGTTGTCAATGATGTATCCCCCACTAAATGACAAGAAAGGACAGATAAGTTACCAGGATTTTCTGTAAATGTTTTTTTCACTTGGTGCTCATGTCACATTAATGTTTTATTTATTCTTTTAAAAATAATGATTAAATAAGAGCCTTTTACCTGATAGTTATCTGGACACTAAAAATGGATTTCATCTATTTAAAAACATTTATTTTGTCTAATTTCTCTCAGAAATTAAGACCACTACAAAACCAAGGTGACGATGAAATCCAAGGTCTTTTATAGTTTTTACTTATTTTTAAGAAAATGAGAATTTTCTACATGTGTAGTGAAGTCACATCACTTCCAGGCCACCTCTGGTGTCACCCCCCCCAATCTCTCTCAAATTCGTGACCTCTTCTTGAATAGTTAATATTGCATACACACATGCGCATGTGCGAGCACACACACATACACACATACACACACACACACACAATGCACACATGTGTGTACTTGAATCTGCTGAGTCCATTTGGGGTTGGTCTCTTAAGCAAATGTGTTTAATGTTGATCACTTGGTATTAGACAATTTATCAGGGAGATCATCCCTGAATAAAACTGATGATCCCTCTCTCAGCAGACCTTGGTTGCCTGTAGGTCTTGATCTAGGGGTGGAGCCTTTCCTTTATTCATGATGGCGTGTCAACTGGTGTTGCCATTATGATCTTGCTTAGGCAATCATATTGCTGAATTTTCATGGATGTTACTTTCTGTCATACATAGATGACACTATGTTGCAGCAGATGTTCTCTGGCTCCTGAAATCTTTCTGCCCACCTCTTCTGAAATGTTCTTTTAGTCTTAGATGTAGGAGTTGCACTGTAAATGTATCAGGCGGAGTTGGGCACCCCACAGTCAATTCTCAACGTTTTGATCAGTTATGAAATTCTGTAATAGTCTTGTCTGCTTCTACAAGAAGCATCTTCAATGATGGGTGAGAGCTACATTTATCTGTGCTATAAGGATACATTTTTAGAATGGAGCTAGAAAGTCGTTTCCGTTACAGGGATACGATTTTGAGGAGTTGTACAATAAAATAAGAATTTCAATATGTGAATATTATGAAAAGTGCCACGACAGTATTGACATAAACATATCTTAGGATGTATTAGGTATTGGAGATGAATTTAACTTGAAGGTCTGGTGAGATGGCTTAGTTGGTATAGTACTTTCCACAAAACCATGAAAATCTAAGTTGAGATCTCCAGAAATCATGTGGAAAAGTTGAATGAAATGATATGCATCTGTAATACAACATGGAGGAGGTGGTGGTCAAAAATCTTCTGAGGCTTGGTAGCTAGACATTTTAGACAAATCAGTAAGCTCCTGGCCACTGAGAGATTCCCCATCTTAAAAACATAAGGCAGAGAGTAGAAATCTATTGAGGAAGACCCTCAACATTGACCACTGGCTTCAACATGCTCACACACACACACACACACACACACACACACACACACACACACACACACACAGAGAGAGAGAGAGAGAGAGAGAGAGAGAGAGAGAGAGCAAAATCTTAACTTGAATTTAAAAAAAGGGAAATGATGAAGAATTTAGTATTTGTTTTTTATTAGTGACAAAGAAAATTAAAGAAGGAAGGAAGGAAGGAAGGAAGGAAGGAAGGAAGGAAGGAAGGAAGGAAGGAAGGAAGGAAGGAAGGAAGAAAAAGAAAAGAAAACCCTGCAAACTGAGGAAAGTTTCTGCTGGCTAGCACTGTTTAGCTCTGTGATATAGGAAGACAGCTTTTTTTTTCTTCAGCTGAGACATAAAGATATGTACTTTGTGTAATTTTTATAAAGAACAATTGCAGTGATGTACAAAAAATGTATCTTAAAGAAAAACTATTATTTAAATGTTAGATAGATATAACTTTGTAAAGCAACCTGTTATCCTATGGTTTGGGTTGCTCTGCTGCTTTTCTGTACATAGTTTTGTGGGTGTAGGTAGGAGAACTGGAATAAGTATCATGTCTCTCAACTCCCATGACAATTAACATTTACTGTGTACTCTTTTTGTGTTATGGACTGCCTTGAGCTTTATTAAGCATGTCACTGGAACCCTGAGCAACCCTATGAGATAACTACTACTTTTGAGAAACTAGCCAAAGAGATAAATTGATACTTTTTCAAGGTTATTAATCAGTTATTTTTCTTGTTGCTGTCACAAAAATATCACACAAACAACTTAAGGCAGGAAGACTTTATTTTTTTGTTGTTGTTTATTTTTCTTTGACTCATGGCTTGAGGCTACAGTCCATCAAGCCCATCATGGAATGGAAGGGGAGTCATAGAGGCAGTAGTTTGAGATTACTGGTCACATCATGCCACAGTCAAGAAACAAAAGGAGAGATGAATGCTGGTGTTCACATCGCTGTATCCTTTTGTTCAGAGTAGGGTACTGCAGCCCAGAGAGTGCCACAGCCCTAAGTTAGAGTGTGTATTTCTCCCTCAATTAATCCATCTAGAATCTCCCTCCCTCACACATGTGCCCAGATGTTTGTCTCTTTGTTGACTCTCAGTCCATCTTCCTGACAGGAAATATTAACCACCATAGTCAGCTAGTAAGAAACAGGCTTGAAGTTTGGGGTCTCAGGTTGTTTGATTGAATCTTCATGAGGGTGAATGGAAGGTGTTCAGTTTTACCTCTGTCTAGGGAAGTTCGGACCATGTTCCTATTAACCGATCATCTGTGCTTATCAACTGATCATCCTACACACACGAGCAATAGGTGCTGCACTCATTACTGAGCAGTGTTCTAACCGAAAGGGAAAGGCACTGTTGTGTAATGTTTCTACAACTTCAAATGGTGAGTATACGAAACTGTATCCCATTGCACCTTTTATGACTTATACTTTGAGAGATAAAGAAATGCCAAACAGTGCTTGAGGTTGAGTGAGTACGTGAACTACAAGGCCATTTCAGAATGGTTAGTGTAATGATGGAAAATGAGAAAATGTGATAGGCTTTTCATCTCAAGTGCCCTGTTTCACAGAAAGGATCACAGTGCCTTTAAATCCCTATTCCTTTTATCCATTTCCAAGTGGCATTTCTACTGGAGTAGTATCTTTTATTTAAACTATAATATAAAAGTCCGATATGAGGAAGCTAAAGCTTTATTCTTGAGATCTCTCATTCCACCAAGCCAACATTTCCCCCATTTGATTATTCTTATCAACATTTTTCCGAAATCAAGATGACAAAGTGATAGATGTTAACTCAACTGCATGAGAAAAGTTCATGATTACACTGCAACAATGTGGCTGAACTTGGCCCAGGTATAAGCTCTGGTTCCAGCCCACATTGAAAAACATGAGTAATAGTTCATATAAGTGGGATAGCTATAGTAATCAGCATGCATGCTGTAGGGATTCAAAAGTATTAGATTACATCTCTGCCTTTAACAAGCCGGTATTGGGTTAATGAATGATGACATGACTCTTCCCTCTATCTCTATGGTTTTATTTGCCAAGATAGGCAATTTTTTGGTCAAGGTTAAATACTTAGAATTGAATATGATTTTGTGGAATGTACATTAAGAATAATCATAAGAGAAAATTGCCAAAAGTATTTTGTAAAAATATTTTATGTATTTTTTATAATTATAATAAATAAATTAAAAAAATAAAAAGATCTCAAGATTTCCAAAGGTTAGAATGTTGAACTCTATATTCATTTATGGGTGTTTGGAAAAAAACAAAGTAAAACAAAAAAATGAAAAAAAAGTGATAGTTACTGATTTTTCTTTTCCTTACTGCAACTAAAAACTGTGAAAAATGAACTAATTTCATATAGTCTCTTATTTTTCTTTCTTCCATCCTCTAGCACTACTACAAGCTATTTACAAGGATCAAATATTTTTCAAGTTTCTTAAGCACATGATAAAACAAAATACACATTCATGGACATGTAAAAACATTGTTCTTTGGCAAAAGCAGATTGCTCATTGTAAGAAGAGTTGCAGAAGTTAGCAACTCACATAGTTAGCAAGGTGCTCTAGGCACTCATGGATAATTTGAGGAACAGCAATTTTCTGGTAATAGTCAGTAATGGAGAGCACATTTCTCTGTGAACAAAACTGATTTTATAGATTTTGATTACATTTGGCTTGATGATACAATTAAGTTCTGATTTTTATTAGCCAGTTCTGGGGGCTTCTAGAAGCTTTAATATTGATAATTCCCTCATGAAGAGCAGAGAGAAAGGTTTCCTATGTAGGGAGCAGAGCTCTGCTCCTAAAACTTCATTTCAGAAACCCAAGCATGACGCTGAGGGTCATTTACTTTTGAAATTCTATTTACTCTTCTGTAAAATGGTATTTAAAGAGCATTTTGACCATACAGAGTTTTAAGTGAGAAAAAAGGGACAGTGCCCAGCATATTGCATATGCTTGATTAATAATCTTACTGTAGATCATTATTATAGAAGCTTTTTCATGACCCCTTACTTCAATTTTTTTTAGTTAAATTTAACTTTTAAGCAGGTTCATTATTTCATTGGTAAGCAACCCTTAGAATCAGGTGAAGTCCTTAAGAGGAAAATTGTACCTCCCTTCCTTCGTTTGTTAGGATATTCCTTTCTTGTATGTAAAATATAGGCATTTTTAATTTCCTAGAACACAAGCCACTGAGCAGCGTCCGCCTTCCTCTTCTGTTCCAGCAGAGATGCTCCTGTCATCGAGTTATGCAGGGCAGCTCTTTCAGCCAGCATCTAACTCAGACTATTATCCACAATCTCCTTCAGTGGACGGTTTTGATGAAGAGCCTCCTTTGCTAGAAGGCAAGTTAAGGAAGTGTTGTTCTTAGGGTGTGCACAGCTCTGGAAACTACTGCAGTAATCAGGACTTAGCATGCTCTGCCTCAATGTTGCGGACACTGCTTTGTGTGCAGTTACTGCACAGTTAACAGGACTCTTCCAAACCAAGACACATACGCCCAAACGACTGCAAGTTTGTTGCATTATTGGATGAAGTTTCTAAGCATGTTTGTTCTGTTGCTGGGAAATTGTTGCTATTATTGAATGCTCCTTCACTGTTTCCTAGATTTGGACTCTGGCCTGGCATAAATAGGAAAGACATGTTATGGAAAGGTGTTTATATCAAAGTAGCAACACTTTCCAAACCTCTAAGGGTGTACTTCATAACAGTATTATTTTATTCTTTGCTGTTTGCCTGAGAGCAAGTGAGATAGTTTCTCAAATTAATGTTTCTCTGTGGTTGGCGTGGAGGCAAGCCAAACACTTTTTTTTTCTCTGTCTCTCATGAGCTCTCTCTGATCATCTTGGAAAAGCCAAGTGAAGGAGAATACAGTTCCAGTTCATAACAATGTTCTTAGGAAGGAAACCCAGGACTCTTGGAGCTGGAGGTCCAGATAGATTTCAGGAACTTTATATTCATTTTTCTTCATACCCAGGCATTCTATATCTATGTTGAGTTTTTGCTGGAGGTAACAACCCCAAGAAAGAACTTAAAACTCTACCAGATTTACATTAGAGAATGAAGCATAAATGCTCAGTGGTAGCCCCCTGCCAGTCCTCTGTACCCACACCGGCTCTAAGTGGAGTTAGATGAAAATGAAGACTCTAATTACCAATATTTTCCATAGTAAGTACTGTTTACCTCATTTGAATTCAATAACTACCTGGAGTTAACACAGCCTTCTTTCTTTGCCCAAAAAGGTAAACAAGAGAAAGATTTAAATAATTCTGAACAATGCAGAAAATTAGGTAATAGATCTCTTAGTACCATAGAAGCTATTAAGCTTTGTGATCAGTTATGTCTAATCAGCTCCTTCTATTTCTCCTCTGCAATTACTAAGTAACTGAAACTCATAAACTATTTTCACTAAATATGGTTGGTTCTACCAACATTTTTTGCCCTAAAAGACCCATCAATCACCTAAGTGCATTCACTATACATATTGGAAAATATAGAAATATATGAATTAATACATAAGGTAGTTAAAATCTTGTATCTAAGGATTAACTACCATGAAACATTCAAATGTTTCTTTCCAGCTATTATTCTATTTTTTTATGTGTGTACATATTATGTATATAAACACCTAGTTACTCTAAAGGGAAATACTATTTTTCAATGAAAATATTTGTTTTGAGTATTTTTAAAATAAAGTTGAGTCATACAATCACATATGGTCTTATTTTCAGTTATTGTATCATGAACATTTCTTTTTCTTTTCTTTTTTTTTTTTTTTTTTTTTGGCTTTTTGAGACAGGGTTTCTCTGTGTTGTTTTGTTGCCTGTTCTGGATCTTGCTCTGTAGACCAGGCTGACCTGGAACTCACAAAGATCCACCTGGCTCTGCCTCCTGAGTGCTGGGATTAAAGGCGTGTGCCACTGCTGCCCGGCTTCATGAACATTTCTATATATTAGTTTTTTGAAGACATTAAATGTTAGAAACATGATTTATAATCATCTTATAAAACTCAGGTGCCACAATTTAAACATACCTTAAAGGTTGTAACCTACAGTAAGTAATATTGTGATTAACATCATAGTTAAAATCTTTTAGCCTGTGCATTCTTTGGGAATGCACTGTCTGTAACAGTGGGAAAATTTGGTCAGAAGGCACTTGGAACATTATCAGTTGACCTGACAAAAAGTGAACTTTCTACTGTACTGTTATAGTCAAATATGCAATATCTATGTCATTTGATAGTATAAAAGGAAAGATGAATACTTTGTATTTTATATTACTAGAAGTCTGAGATTTTTTCATGTATATTGATTGTTTTTATTTCTTCCCATTTTTGTGCTTTTTGCCATAGTAGAATTAAATTAGTTTTCCTTTCCTTATTTTAAGATATATTTAGATAGAAGCATATTAATAACTGTCCAGAAGATATATTTGAATAAATCTTTTTTCTTTCTTATTTTCAATATAATATTCTCATAGGTCTTTGGGGACATATAGAAATTTCAGTATTTATATTTTAAAATTAAGATTGACATTGCTTGGAGAGTTTTTTTTCCAATTGCAGCAGCATTTTTAGAACCAGACTCTCTAGATCAGCACAACATTTGTATCAGTTTCCTTAAAGATGCCCAGATTTGCCGGGCAGTGGTGGCGCACGCCTTTAATCCCAGCACTCGGGAGGCAGAGCCAGGAGGATCTCTTTGAGTTCGAGGCCAGCCTGGTCTCCAAAGCAAGTTCCAGGAAAGGCGCAAAGCTACACAGAGAAACCCTGTCTCGAAAAACCAAAAAAAAAAAAAAACCCTTTAGCCGGGCGGTGGTGGCGCACGCCTTTAATCCCAGCACTCGGGAGGCAGAGCCAGGCGGATCTCTGTGAGTTCGAGGCCAGCCTGGACTACCAAGTGAGTTCCAGGAGAGGCGCAAAGCTACACAGAGAAACCCTGTCTCGAAAAACCAAAAAAAAAAAAAAAAAAAAAAAAAGATGCCCAGATTTTAAAGTAATATTTTTGTTTCATATTTTCATAGATGAGACATACAATATAAAGTAAAAAAATAAATGTTCATCCTAGGATAATGGTGAGCCTTAGCCTGCCAAACTAGAAAAGTTACTGGTATTTGTTGTTTTCTCCTTGTAGCACAGGCTGATACTTACATCTGTAAGGTCAGTGCCGTAATTTATGTAAAAATGAAGATCTTAATTCACTTTTGTACTTCATGTCATATACTTGCCTACCACTAGATGACAGCAAAACAATAAATTTTACATTCAAGTTTTTTAGCAGTTCCATCTTCTGCTTTACACGCTGAGGTGCTGTGTTGGGGCCCCTACAATGAACACTTTGTAATAAATTTGAAAACAAAATATTTGGGATATAAATACTCTGTTGAAAACATAAAATATTTTTTCACGAAAATATTTACTATATCCTATATTCATTCATGATTTCATGACTCCGTATTGAAAGGTGTGCAGACCTTAATTATGCCATTAAATAAATGGTGGAAATCAACAATGATATTGCAAAAAGCATTTTTTTCTGAGTTTTTTTTTTCAGAAAAAACTACTCCTACTTTCTTAAGGAAAAAAAAATGTATTTTATACCAAAGGCACTTACTTGTAATAAAAACTGAAAATGAAACTTGAAAGTGACATAAGCCTGTTATAAATTTAATTTAAACTGTGATATTTCTAATTTTTATGGTCTTCTACTATTTAAAAAACCAAGTGCAATGGAAACTCCTAGGGATCTACAAGGGTGACTATAGAAAAGACTCATTGTAATTGGAGTTACAGAACTTGACCTGACCATCTTCTGTAACCAGAAAGAGCTTCAGTAGAGGGATTGGGACACCAACCCAGCAACAAAACCATCAACTTACAATTTGTCCTTCCTACAAGATGTGCTCGGGTAAAGGTGTCACAGAAATTATGGGAGTGGCCAACCAATGACTGGTCCAGCCTGAGACCCATGCCACTAGAGCAAGCCCATCCCTGACTACCTAGAGGGCCAGAACACAGAGACTGGATAGCCCAGAGACCCAGGATAGACCCAAACAGGACCAGAAAAAAATAATGAACTCTAATGATATTCTGCTATACTCGTAGACAGGCACCTACCACAATTATATCCAGAGAGGCTTCACCTAGCAACTGATGGAAACAGATGTGGGGTCTCACAGCCAAACCTTAGTTAGAGATTGGGGAATCCTGCCAAAGAAGGGCAGGAAGGATTGTAGGAACAAGAGGGGTCAAGGGCTCCAAAGAAAACCCACAGAATCAACTAAACTGGGTTCCTAGGGGCTCACAGAGACTGAACAGACAATCAGGGGGTCTGCATGAAACTGACCTAGGTCCTCTGCATTTATGTTATGCTTGTGTAACTTGGTGTTCTTGTGAGACACCTAACAGTGGGAGCAGGAGCTGTCTCTAACTCTTTGGGGACCCTTTTGTTCCTAGTGGGCTGCCTCATCCATCCTTAATATGAGGGGTGGTGCCCAGTCTTACTGCAACTTGATATGCCATCTTTAGTTGATATTCATGGGAGGTCTTCCCTTTTCTGAAGAGAAAGGAGGAAGAGTGGATGGGGGTGGGAGAGGACTGGGAGGGGCGGATGGAGAGGAAACTGCATTCAGAATGTAATATGTGAGAGAAAAAAATTATTAAACTCTTAACCCATTTTAAGGTTGTTGAACTATTCATCTCCTCCAGTGTACATGGTCAGAAGATACAACACACTGAAAATAAAGGAAACACGTGGAAACAAAATTGTACTCAACTTACTCACTTTTTTTTCTTCTTTCTTTTTTCTTTTTTTTTTTTTTTCAAGATAGGGTTTCTCTGTGTACTTTTGGTGCCTGTCCTGGATCTCGTCCTGTAGACCAGGCTGGCCTCGAATTCACAGAGATCTGCCTGGCTCTGCCTCCCAAGTGTTGGGATTAAAGGCTTGTGCCACCACTGCCTGGCTAACTCTACTCACTTTTTAAAAATTACTTCTTTTTATTTTTTGAGATTATAGTATAATTAGATCATTTCCCCTTTCCTCCCTCCAAACCCTGTCATGTATCCTTCCTTGATCTCTTTCAAATTCATGGACTCCTTTTTCATTAATTGCTGTTCCATGCATATATGTACATACATAAATATTCCCAACCACAACCTGCTCAGCCTGTATAATGTTACTTATATGCATGCTTTTAGTCACTCACTGTTTAGTAATGTTTATTTTTCTCAATCTTTATCTTTCTTTCCTAACCCACTGCTGGGGTACAAATCCTCACACATGTGAAACCACTGCTTTAACTCTAACCTATGTCCCCAGTAGGTTAAGTAGTCCCCTGCCCCATGCTTAGGATAACAAATTTCAACCAGGAGACTGCTGTGAATATCGCTCTGTATGCTGTTGATCTGTGTTGCTCTCATTGGTTGATAAATAAAATGCTGATTGGCAGTAACCAGGCAGGAAGTATAGGTGGGATAAACAGACAAGGAGAATTCTGGGAAGAGGAAGGCTGAGTCAAGAGACACCAGCCCACCATCCAGGGAGCAGCATGTAATGGCACACAGGTAAAGCCACAGGACATGTGACAACATATAGATTAACAGAAACGGGCTGAGTTTAAATGTAAGAGCTAATCAGTGGTAGGCCTGAGCTAATGGCCAAGTGGTTATAAATTACATTAAGCCTCTGTGTGATTATTTTATAAGCAGACCACAGGACTACAGGGCCTAGGCAGGACCAGAGAAATTTCTAGCTACAGGAGACTGTATATGTAAAAGTTTAACTCTCTATTCCAACTCACTCAGGTGCCCCCTGACCCTCTGACAATTTCTAAATTGTTAAAGGAAGGCCCCTCCATGGCATGACGATCATTAAAAATCTTTCTTGTTCAAAATGTCAACATTGGAAAATATTTAATTGGCACTAGCCACCATTAAAAAAAATCTGAGGATGGAGATGTGGCTTAACGGGAGATACTTTGACTAGTACCCAGTGTCTCTAAATAATAAATAGCTCAACTATTCTTATAATCTGACCAGAGATATTTGTACATGCTTGGAAGTACAGTTGAATTTAGGAAGTGTAGCCTTTCCCATAGGAAAGATGGAATAGATAGATGATTATAGATAGGTAGATGATAGATAGATAGATAGATAGATAGATAGATAGATAGATAGATAGATAGATAGGTAGATGTACAGTTGAGTTTAGAAAGGGAGCCTTTCTTATAGAAAAATGTAATAAATTAGATAGATGATAGATAGATAGATAGATAGACAGACAGACAGACAGATAGATGATCGATAGATTAGCTGCACAGGAACCTGACTTCTCAATGTTTTGCAGGAGTGAGATTGGCCAACGTGGAAATGTAGATTTTCTACTTCTTGCTTTTAGACTCTGAAAGTTACTTAACCTTTTAAATTTCAGACATCTGGTGTATAAAATAGGAATGCATTGACAATATCTTTATCATATATATATATATATATATATATATATATATATATATATATATGAGACCAATGCTTATAGATCTTGAGAGGCCAGTAAAGCCTGAGCAATCAATCAGAGCTTGCTTTAGTGAGATGATTCTATTCTAATACTCTCACTCATAGAAAGAAAAAAGATTAACTTGTCCTTAGTATTTAATCTTTGAGTATATTGATTTAATCCTACAATGCATTGATTTATAAACATCTGCATGTACATCGTGGTTACTGCTCTCTGCAAAAAGAGTCCTTCTCTTTCTTCCTTGTGGAGTTTTATCAATTTAGAGCAAAGTTAATATCCTTATTAGGCAGAATGAAAGAAAACGCTAGACCTAAACTGAGTGTTATTAACAAGTTATGCCATCGGTGGTATGGCATGATTCCAGAAGTACTAGGAGTCGGAAATGTAGGGGGAGGAAATATCTGAAGGGGCAATTGAGACACATTTAGTCTGTTAGCCACAATGATAGGTTTTACTGTATGTCAATTCCCATGTTTTTAAATAGTATTAATGTTTTCCTGCGTGAACCAGATAGAAATTTCCTCAATAGAGATTTTTTTTTCTTTAAACTGTTTCTTTGGGTGTGTTGTTTGCTCATGGTATATTACCTCAAACTTGAGATTTAGATTATGAAAATCAAGTAGATCAATCATGTTAAGATGCCATGCAAAAGAATAGGTACACTAACTTTGCAATAATAGAACTCTTTTGTTTCCTATATTTACCTTAGACTATTTATTTTCTTTTTGCAGAACTTGGAATTAATTTTGATCACATATGGCAGAAAACCTTGACGGTGCTAAACCCAATGAAGCCAGCAGATGGCAGCATCATGAACGAAACAGATCTCACAGGACCCCTTCTTTTCTGTGTGGCTCTGGGAGCCACATTGCTTCTGGTAGCTTCCAACAGCTAACCTGACATTTCAGGCTTTGTCTCCATCAGAGATAATATTGAAACAATTTCTTTTAAAAAAAAGAAGAAGAAGAAATTTGCTTTCTAAGAAGCATTAGGACAGGAGCTTGGATCCCATCACATAAAAACTGGGTTTAGAGATACATGGTAATAACCCCAGCACAGGGGACCATGATGCTCACTAGTCAGAAGCTTAGACAGTCTGTGAGGAATGGGATCAGTGAGACATCTTGTCTCAGAATAAAAGGTGACCTGCACACACACATTCATACACATACATGAACACATACACAAACAAACATACACAGCACCCCCCCCACAAACATACAAAAGCAGTTTCTTTTAATACAGCTATAACTTTCAAATGTGTTTTATAAAGTACATGTTCTAATTTCCTTTATTAAATTTGTAATACAAGCCTGCCAAGATATTGAATAAAATCTAGTTTCTGTGTGACCAGTGATCACATCCTTCTCATCCAGGACAACAGTGCAGTATTAACAACCGCCTTCCTTGCAGTTCATAAAACGGGAACACTTTCTAACTCAAATGCTGTCAGCCAGAGTTCCCACCTATTCTTAGGGCTCCCTTCTCTTTTTCACCGTAATGTAGTAATCTTGGATTAAGCTGCTATGCAAGGCCATGCCGATTAATCAAATAGTCAGAAACAATCAGTTTAATATATGAACTCATTTTTTCCTTGCAAGTCATTTGTAATCTAACAGCTCTTGTTTTTCTGTGGGATATATTATGATTACCATCTCTTAAAAGACAGTGTGAATTCCATCATCAAGATCACTCTTGGATACGTAAGGCTACGAGAAGTCACTTAAATATCCTCTTCTGTGCTTTAGATACAAAGCATTATAAATGAGGAAATCTTAACTGGAGGGGATCAAATGTTGTCTGCACATTTTTATGCCTCCATTTCTTTGCTTCAAGACAAAAAGGTTTTACTTTTTTTTAAAAAAAAATAAGGTTTACTAGAAACTTAGGTCTCTTATAGTTCTAAAATTATATGGATATATATGACTAGCCCTTAGATTTTTTTTTATTAGCAGTTATAACGTCAGAGTTAATGTTCATAGATGAAGATCAACAACGACATTCCAAAAACTCCAACTGGACATTTAGCTGATGTCAGATTTCAATATGAATTTAATTGCTGCCAAATCAACTCTGTGTTACTCTGCCTCTATAATTAAAAGTTCATTTCATAGGCCATTGCATCCATTATATTAGTAAAAGTAAAACTAAATTCAGAAACAATATTCACATTCATTAAGTACTTCTGGATATGTAAGATTCACAATCATTTACAGCAGTGTGCTCACAATCATCTATAGGAGTGTGCTTACCTCTTGCAGCCAAGAAGTAAAAGATAGAGATAAGAAGGACCTGGAGGTCCCAGTATCCTTCACAGAAACATGCTCCTAGTGACTTCACTTCTCCCTACTAAATTCCATCCTTAGAGGGTCCACAACTTCTCAAAGCACTACAAGCTTCAGAGTCCTTAACACATAAGCATTAAGGAAACACACAAACCACAGCAACTCCAATGTTTTTTTATTACCCAACATCAACACACAATTTAAAGAGATTCTCATTTAACTGTTCTGGTAGGGCTATTAGTATGATCTGAAAAGCAATGTTCTTAAGCAACACAAAAGTATAATTAGGGCTGGGTATTGTGCTACATATCTGTCATTCCAGCACTCAGGAGATGGAGGCATAAAGTACAGAAATTTTACATTTATATTTGCAATATATATATATATATATATATATATATATATATATATATATATATATATATATATATTTGCAAAGATCCTTTCTCATAAAACCAGGCTGGGGATGTAGTTCAGTGGTAGAGCACTTGTCCAATGTCTACAAGACCTGGGGCTTTTTATTTTTTGAGGCAGAGTTGCTTTGTGTAGCCTTGGCTATCCTGGAACCCACTCTGTATACCAGGCTGGCCTTGAACTCACAGAGATCCACATGTTTCTGTCTTTCGGGTGCTGGCATTAAAAGCATGAGCCACCACCACCAGGCAAGAAGACAATTTTAAGTGTTTATTATAACACTAAGTATTTTAGATCAAGATGTTCTAATATGGGTAAATTATGTATGGAGGATCCTAGACATTTGAGGTAAAAACTCAGGTAATTTTATTTGTTTCAATATTAAACCTTTATTAAAATTTGAAACAAAATCTTAAGGGTATTTTTGATACTACTTGTAAATGTCTAAGACTATATTAGATGTTTTATTCTTTTGCTCAATCATTCAGATATTCAGTAAATATGGGACACAAATATATGTGTTTCACTCTTTATACTCTCTATAGAAAATGTATGATAAAAAAATCGTCCTGGCAATATTTTATCTTTTATGTAGCATGCGTAGCCCATCCCAAATATTAGACATACATGCATAAATATATGTGGATCCATATATTCAGGGTGATTGTTTGGAGTTTATGTCACAGGCAATGTTTTGTTTTGTTTTAACCAGAACCAGTACCCGGGTGATAATACCATGATATCCAGCAGCATTGAGTAGATTCTTGAATGCTCTCTGGATTGTCACTATTCTGATTTCTTCTCATCTGTTGTGATGTCTAATCATTTTCTTTGCATTGTTTCAGGCAGGAAAAGCCCAGTTTGGTTATGTATACGGCATGAGTGCCATTGGCTGCCTCGGGATTTACACCTTATTAAACTTGATGAGTTCTGCAGGGGTGTCATATGGCTGTGTGGCCAGTGTCCTGGGATACTGTTTGCTCCCCATGATCATCTTGTCCAGCTGTGCTATCTTCTTTTCATTGCAGTAAGTGTCAGTACTAATTGACCCTACATGGACAGTCTTTGGCCAGGCCTGCCAGACCAGGGTAATCATGAAGTTTTATTAACATTTTGTCATGGAATTGAAGAAAATCATGCTTACTGAAAGTTACACATAGATTCAGAAAAAAAAAATCACAGTGGCTGGGATGCTGCTCCTTTTTAACTGGTTAAAAAAAATAAAACCCAAGCATGTAAAATTTAAAACTAGTTCTTTTAAGTTGTAGCATTCTTCAGTCTAAACTATTGGCATGGGTAATATAACAACTGCAGAAAATTCATTTACTTGATTTTGGAAGAGTAAATGCCTGCTGAATTCTGACAAATTACTTCAGTGCCCAGGCATCTGCCTTCAAGGCAAGAAGCAACTGTTATTTCTCAGCTGGACTCCTCACAGTGGAGAATTCCCAGAAACCCCGATGAGGATATTAATTCTGGAGAACTTACGGCATACATGCTCAGTCAATACAATTTCTTTCCCCTTTTCTTTCTTCACTTAGGCATCTAGCATTTGCAATTCTAAACTATTTATAAGGAAACTGTAGATACGTTTCCCACAGCACTTTCCCAAGGCTCATGCATAACCCTAACACTCAGGGACAAGTAAGCCACTGCAAGTCACCTGTCGTGTCTATAAAACACTTGGAAACAAACTCTTACCCTGTGCTCACCCTCTCATGTCCAAGGGAGATGTGACTTGCGTTTTCTTCTTGGGTGATGCAGGTCTTAGGTTATTAATGCTACATTGGAAGAGATGTTGTCATATCGAAAGTTTATCACTACAAGGATAATCAGGTTAGAGAAGAAAAAGCTTATGATACTTTTGTTATCACAAAAGTTATTCCTATGAAATTACTAAGAGTGATTTAAACATGCTCAGTCTGTTCACCTAGGGTCTCATTATTTGTTGTAGCATTCATGAGAATTACTGGAGCCAATTGTTGCTTTTTTCAATGAGTACTCAAATTTAACAAAGGAATTTGACAGGAAATGGACACTGTGAATGCATAAGTAGAATGAGTTATTTTTATTGTGTTTTATCCATAGAAAAATACTACTGTTTTTGTAACTGTTGGCTCTAGCACGTGTTCTGTTCACATGGTTGTACTGTCCTATACAGAAGTTTGACAGAATAGTCTAGCTTGGTTTTACAACTGTCTGATGTTTTTGCAAGATGATAATACTATGATGTACCATTTTAAAATTCCAAGTGTCAAAAGGTATTTTCAGTGACTTCGGTATTTAGAGCATCTTAAATGACTTGGATGCTAAGGGACAAAGAAATCACTAGCAGTTTAGACTTTTTATCCTGAAATTATAAGGGATAATGTGTGTGTTAGATTCTCACTACTGTGACAAAATACTTGAGGGAATCGTCTTATAAAGAGGGGAGATTTATTGTGGCTCTCAGTTTCAGGATATGGTTATCTTTCTTCTGTGGAAAGGCCGAAATGATGACGAGTAAATTGTAGTGGAACAAATCTGCTCCTCTTAGTACCCTGGAGAAAAGAGAATAAGAAGCATGTGTAGGTTGACTAAACTTCCTCCCTCTAGGTTCTGCCCCTACCCAAAGTTAGCTCTAACACTTCTAGCTATAGCTAGCAACCAAACATTTAGCAAATAGACTTGGTTAAAAATCCAAACCATAACAGACAATTTAGAAATACATTACACAAAATGGGAATAAAATGGGGATGTTGATGAATGGGACTGATTATTACAATGGTTTCTGCTTTTGCTTGTTCTAGATTTACTAAAATATAAAAATATCAGTCGTAAACAGTGGATTTTAATGAAATATTTTCTGACTGGCTGAGGTATTTTGAGCTCATCCAGGTAAATCATTAACCTTTGAAATGGAAACTGATATTCTGTACAGGGGCACCACTGGCTTTTCAGGGGCAGTTCCGAGTCAGTCTCCCCAGCCCCAGGCATAAGGCAGCTGTCATCTTTGTTTCTGCTACAGGGGCACCTTTGGAACTGTGTCAGCCCTGCTCATCATCATCTGGTGCAGTCTCTCAGCTTCCAAGATCTTCATTTCAGCCTTGGCCATGGAAGGACAACAGCTTCTTGTTGCTTACCCCTGTGCCTTATTTTATGGACTGTTTGCCCTTCTGACAGTTTTCTAAAGACTACTGATGTGGCTTTTCAAGATTCCACTTGCTTGCTGTTCATATTTTTTTTGCAAGTGCATTAGCACTCAAATTCAGTGAGATAACTTCCGTTTTATTGCTGTTGAGAGAATATTAAGCAGAGAGACAAAACAGCACTCAAGGATAGTGCTCTAATAGCCTGTTTGGTGGGGATGGTGTTTTGATTTTTCAGCTTGGGGCATTAAAACACTTAAAATATTTTGAAATATTAAGAGATACAGTCTCTGTGCTGATAGATGCTGCTTTTTCTCAATAGACATGTTTCTGAGAAATTGTAAGTAAAATACCATCCTATGCTTAGTATTTATTAACTCTATAATAAATATTTTTCAGAAACTTTCATGACTCTGTGCATGTGGTTAAAACTTACACAGTTTGGCACCTTTGGAGAGTTCAGGAGTTTTTTTTCTACCCAGAGTCAAAGAAACACCTTCATTTACCTTAACTACTGTTATTCAGTTTCATTGAGATAATGTATTGACTCACTACATTTTCAGGGTCTCGCTTCCCTCTCATCTGGTCTAAATGCTACCTACAGTCTATTACTACAGTTCTTCCTTGCATAGATCCCACATAATCTTACTATATTCTCTCTAAATAGATAAATGCTTCTACAGAAAATTCCACCTATTTGTACTAATGCTATTGAAGTTTCTGGAATGTCTCCTCAGCAGTGCCCTTTGATCCTATACCACGTTTTTGTTTGAAATTTGTTTTCATACTAAGATGACCAAATAACACCAGTACTTTACTGCTCAACTCTCTAATCTTTCTTCCTCATTAAGTATTTTGATCCCATTTCATTTAAAGCTGTAAGTGTCTAGATAATCCTTTCATCTTCCCACAGCATCTGTCTGTTTACGAGAGATTCTACTTATGTCTGCTCTGCTTCCCTTTATGGGCTTCCTTCTCTCCACACCACTCTTCCTTCCGTCCCTAGTAGTTTCTTTCCTTCACACAAGCATGTAAACATGATCTGGTGTCTCCTAACTCAAAATAAAAGTTGCAAGTGTAGCCCATTTCTCTAGTTCTCTTTATGGAAAAGACAGTCTTGAAAGGGTTGTCTTCTCTCTGCGTCTACCTTACCACCGCCTCTGCTCTTCCTGGCTATCAACTCAAGAACTCTGTATCCTGTTAATATGACCGCCTTTGTCAAATTGATGATAACATGTCATACTACATCCAACCGTTAATTTTTAGTTTCATCTCATCTGAGAAGTGGTATTGGCTTGGTCTTTTTGTTAGTCTCTGGTTTGACTGCTGTATTGAATTATTGAGTTCTTCACATGGATTTGCAATGGCCACCTCTCTTATCTCTGTCTCCTTGGCTGGCCTTTCTTCTACCTTTCTTTCTTTCTTTCTTTTCCTTTTTCTTTTTGGTTTTTCGAGACAGGGTTTCTCTGTGTAGTTTTGGTGACTGTCCTGGATCTCGTTCTGTAGACCAGGCTGGCCTTGAACTCACAGAGATGTGCCTGGCTCTGCCGCTCCCCCTCCCCCGCTGAGTGCTGGGATTAAAGGTGCGCACCACCATCACCTGGCCTTTCAATCACAAATCTAATATTAAGTTATTAGCTGTGCTCATTTAGTTTCCAAATATAATGACTCCAAAATTCCATCTGCACTGAACATTCTCTTCTCTGAGCTCTTGGTATATATCCAAATTATACTTAATATCTCCATTTGATTTTTCATATGATAAGCACATACACATCATATCCCTTGATTTCTAGCCTGTCCTCCTCATTCCTCTTTAAAAATCTTTTCAATTATATGGTGAGTAGAATCTTGATCACTTTTGTTTTCCACTCAATATCTTTTCTAATATTTAACTTAACCTGTCATGAAAAAACTTTTCAAATGTGGCTGTGTCTCATGAGCTCCACTATGGTTTGGATAAGAACTGTTTTTCCAAAAGTCTTTTATGTGGCAGGTTTGTGTTTCAGATAGTGCACTCAGTTATTGAGACATGATTGGATCGTGAGGTCAGAGACATAATCAGTGTACTAATGCTTTGGTGGATTCTTAATTTGATGATGTTGCTGAGAGGAAGTAGGAACGAGGAGACTGGGCTAGCTTGGAAGAAGTAGATCACAGAGGGAATGTCTTTAGATGGCATGTCTAGTCTGTGACCCCTTCCTGTCTTCTGTAGGGTGAGTCGCTCTGCTCTACCACATGCTCCTCACCATGATTTTATGTTTCACTATATATAGGCTTAGAAACAATGGTGCACTATGACTTCTGAAACTCTGAGCCCTAAAGAAGTCTTTCTTTTAAGTTGTTTTCTTGGCTGTCTTTTCAAAGTGATAAAAAGTGACTGACACAAGCTCTTTCTCAGCCAACCTCACAGAGGCCACTTTAACTGCTTGCTGAAGGAAGTAGTCTACTCACTGACTTCTTTCTCCCATGCATTCTCTAAGACAAGGTTATTTATAGATGCAGTATAAGAAAGCCTTTGAATATGTATATTTATTTATGGTCATACTCACCCAAGGCCCTTTTATGGCTTTCATTCATATGTACAAGAAACCTCAACGTCCTTTGCACAGCTCAGAAGCTTTCTAGTCAAAGAGTGGCTTTTGGAATAACAGATAGCATTCTCTGGAATTCTCTGAAGGGCTGTAAATCCCTGGTCCAGCCCTAGAACTTCTGAATTGGAATTTGCATTTTAACAAGATCCCAGATGAATTAAAAGCACAATAAATTTTTTAAGTGCTTGCCTGAATGATGATCATGTGACATGCTTTACCTTCCAAAATTCACACCTCAAATTCTCCCCTTGTCCCCTAACCTTATTATTGCTTCTCACACTACAAAATTTATCACTTATGAATCTTCATATTTATTCTGTTTACCTGCGACTTCCTTCCTTCCTTCCTTCCTTCCTTCCTTCCTTCCTTCCTTCCTTCCTTCCTTCCTTCCTTTGTATTATTAAGCTCTGTGTTCACGCCACTTCCTCATCTAAGGCCTCCTTTTGTTGATCTTTTTCTGACAATACACCTTATACCCAGCTTTACTCAGTCCATTCTCATCTGTTATGTATTATGTAATCTACTTACCTAAAGTTATTTAATCTCACTATACTCTAATTTCTTGACTTTCTCTCTCCTCATCCAGAAGATAAACACTTTGACTCAGATCCTTGTCTATAAACAGCATTCCTGACATAATTTTTGTTTCTATTTTTAGGAATGGTTTTATTTACTATTTGAAATTTTCTATTTCTATTTATGGAGTGAGTGAATGAATACATAAATAAACAAGTGAGACAGTGATTGGATATTAATGCCCGTGATGAATAAGACAATTGAAGCTGTGACCCATGAGTGAGGGGCAAAATAGACAAAAAGCAAATAACAGTAATCAAGTGAGATAATTATTAAAGTATGAGACTGCTAATGTACAAGCATGTAGAAAGGAAGTCCAGACTGCAACAGGTGTTAGAATTCTATGGCTTAAAAACACATTAATGAACGTTAATTAAATGTGGAGTTTTCTTAAGTTCTTAGCTTTTCTGGAATGAGATGGTTCCACTTTCACACGTTATGTAAAGCAGGTGAAGCAAATATATCATTCACTGTATATTTTTTTCTATGAAAATATCCCATTGCATAGAGATATACTTATATTCTGGATTAAAATTGTATCCTTTGGATGAGATTTTTGCTTAAAATATTTATAGATAAGTATTTCTTTAAACTCACAATGTAGCTTGACATTTTTTTTCTATAAATTAAGCATACACAATGTTTTTATTTACTGTGAAATTTTTTGGCATCTCTGAAAAAGCAAATGCCAAGTATTTTCATTTGGTGGGAAATAAGGTTACATTTTATTTAATAATAAAAGACAGAATTGTGAAATAGCTAAGAATTAAATTAACACAATAGGAAACATAGATTCTCTATATGAATATAAATTTATAAAATATTAAAGACATATTTTGAGGAAATTCGGTTATGCAGACAGACATACTATGGCTATGGATGACAAAGCTGAATTCATGAGGAATTCTTCTAGATAAATGTGTACTTTAAATGTGTCGGGAAAAATCCCCACAATGTGGGAATTAACAAGGTAATTCTAAAATTGATATATGTGTCAAAAACATCAACCTAACAGTCTATAAATTTATTTTGAGAGGGAATTAAATAAATTGTTCACTTTTACGCCTAAGTAAATTGAAATATCTTTGAAGAATGATCATATGAGACAAATGCATACAAGTATGTTTTCATTTTTTTTTTTTTTTTTGGTTTTCTAGATAGAATCCCACTATGCAGTTCAGGCGGGCTCAACATTTTCCATATCCCTTCCTCGGCTTCCTGAATGCAGGAGTGCTTTGCCTTCATAACAAGCTCTGTATTCACATGTTGCTATTTAATGGGGACTTACTATGGGCTGGTCTAAATACTTCCTACATGTATCAGCACATCTGATTATCACAATAACTATAAAGTGCTTTTGCCATTGTCTCCATCTCACAGCTGAAGGTGCCAGTGGCAGAGGACTCAATCACTTGCCAAAGTTACTCAGCCAGTGACCAGAATTTGGAAACAGAAGCTTGATTTCATAGCCCCCAATCACAGCCTGACAATTCCTGTTCTCCAGCAGTGACATGTCTTCCATTTGCTATACTTAGATTTGGCTCTACCCTTGACCTTGGTGCATGCTACACAGGGACTGTTGGCTTGAGCTGCTGGAGAGAATAACTGAGTTATGGGAAGAAAGCAGGATGCCCAATAGGAGTAGAATGGTGTCTGAAAGTTTCCAGGAACCACTACTGAACTCTAGTTGAAATCAGTGATGCCAGTTCAGATCTAGCTGGCATTTGGATACAAGATCTTCACAAAGTTTAGTTCTTAACCCTACTCCAAGAAAGGTGTGCAATGCATAGAAGCATAGATTATAGGTGTTCTCTTTACTATTTCATAAAATCTGAAATTTATTTGTCGTCAGTAGTATATATGAAGTCACAAAATGATGCAGCAGGTGGAAGAACACTTGGACACATAATAGAAACAGGTCCTTTCATTTTAATGCCTCCCAGGAGTTTTCCCCTTTCTCTTTTCATCAAATGTGTTCAATCTTACATATATATATGGGAATATAACTTTTTCTCTTTCCTTTTCACTTTCTGTTTTACTGGCTGGATAAAAGTTACAGATTATTTTTCAAAAGATAAATGACACATTCGGAGTCAAGAGATGGCCTCCATTTTGACAAGAATGATTGGGGACATGTGCTGAAAATAAGAGCCCTGAATTGCTCAGACTCGAGTGCCCCAGTTCACACAGCTTAACTAGGGCAGTGGCCTTTGAAACGGCTGATGA